GCCCTCGCCTGTGAGCCTTCTCGAACCCGGCCGTGACGAGGAGCTGACGCTGCTGCCGACGTCATCGTCCGTTTCCCCGTTGTAGTCGTCCTCGACAACAACTCCGCGGCGGATGTAACGGCGCCGCCTCACCCGCGTCCCGTGCTCCGCGGCGGCCGGCAGGCCCGGGTTGGAGGATGTAAAGTCTCGGAACGAGAAGGCGTAAGTCCTGGAGAGCAGGGTACATGGTGTCAGTTTATTTTATGTAGTTTTTTTCGGGGGAGGGGCGGGGGGTGCTGTGGTTATCGTGAGGGCGTAACTTCTAAAATTAGCGCATGGTGCTGTATGGGGTGTGTGCGACGATGATTGGTCAATGTGGCGGAGGAACGTTTTGTAAGTGTACCATATGGTGCTGTGGTGGAGGAGCGCATGTTCGACGCCACACCCAATCTCCAGATATCCCCTTTGCGGTGGGGGCACCGTCAGACCGACCCTCTCCCCACAGCGAAAGCGGCACAGCGCACCGGTAGCCCGCAGCCTGACGAGAGTAGTGAGCACGGTGCTGACTTTGCGGCAACGCGACACAAGAAACGAAGCCACACATCAACCGCAGGAGGGGGTCCAGCCCCCCCCTCCTATGTGACCCCGGTTGGGTCGTCTAGCTGGTAGAAGTGGAGGATAGGGGCCAGAGGGGCAGACGACGGAGTCCAATGATGGGAGAAAAAAAATAAAAATCAGTGTGGCAGCAAAATACCAGCTCAAACGCTGAAACGGCGCATGAGCACGGAAAGGACTGACTCAGCTACCGTGGGCGACGTAAGATATCACAAACCCTTGGCCGATTTTCAAAGCTCGGTTTCTCCACGACAAAGAGGGTGCTGAAACCAACCGAAACGCTTTCGGGAGCTATCACTGAGACAGTGTTAACGCCGCCATTTTCGGCACCGCCCCCACTCTTTATGCTGTGGAGTAATTAATCGAGCTTTGAAAAATCGGCTCGAAGGGGGCTGTTGTGATGATACATCTTCGTCACCTATGGTATGTACTGCACACCAATAGACTCAAAAAAAGCCCAGTACCTGGTATTCAGCAGGTTTTTCTACCCATTCACTGAAAAGACTTCAACCCATCCCCTTCGACCGCTGTGGTTAAATAAATCGACTCGAAATAAGTCCAGAATCCAGCAGTTTTTTTCCCCTCATTCACTGGAAACCCTTCAACCTACGCCCCGCGACAGTGGTTGTATCTCAAACGGGCAGTACTTCTTTGACCGCATGTATCAATGCGCATTTCCCGGAGCCTGGTAGCTCACCACCCCTCGTCGTCGCAGCGAGTGTACGACTTGTCCAGCTCCCACCCGGTGTCCCCTTCCGCCCAGACGCATCCCGCCGGCGGCCGCGAGTCCAGCCTCTCTCGCCAACCACCCCCCGTGTGGTCGCTGTACCGTCCGGGATCTGAGTTCAAGAGGTATCTGCTGCTCCAGCCCTGGGATTGGCACACACAGAGGACATAATGGAGAAAATTGATCAGCATTTGGGGTGTTCGTGGTTGCCTGTTGTCTGCTCAGATAGAGCAGTGGGGAATTCGATTTGGTGGGGTAGCTGACAATAACCGCTTGATACAGCGGACATTCACTTTGTATCGGGCAACCGCCTTATTCGAACGCGGGTGTGATCTGTTCCGCTTGTCCTTGCTGTCGGTGCTATGTTCATGTACAGCATTGGGGGGTCCGATGTGGGGCTGTGGTGGTGTAGCTGAAAATGGCCGCTTTTGATATCGGGCAACAGCCTTTTACTGGGCGATATCGGACAATTACCTTGTATCCTCACATAGGACAACCGCCTTATGTCGGGCAACCGCCTTATGTCGGGCAACCGCCTTATGTCGGGCAACCGCCTTATGTCGGGCAACCGCCAAATATCACCCAACAGCAGTGCTCTATTTCTTGCGGTTGTGATGCGGGAATGAAAGGCCGTCCGCCCGCAGTCATGGGTCTCGCTTTTTCTGGCGTGGCAAGTGACACCAACAGATTAGCGTCTTATCCGGCAGGTTGGTTGTCTATGGACGGGTAACAAACATGAACGTGCGCTCCCCGAGGATGAAGGTGGGGGGCGTCTCAACTTGCCGGCATCAGGGAAGACCCTCCTCCGTTCCGATGTGGAGCATGGCGTGCATGCTTGCTTCTGGAAAGTTGACCCGGCACAGGCAGGACTCTTTCATTTGCATCGGCCGCACGAACCGACTGAGCAACGCGAACACGCCAGGGCTATTGCACGACGAGCACAGCCTGCTCCAGCTGAAACCTTACCCTACTACCACATGTTTTTGGTGTAGATGTCATCCCATTTGTTCTGCACGTTGCTCGTGACCATCTTTCTTTTCGGTATCCACAACTTGTAGACGCACCAGGCGGGGTCCCAGTTATGTGGACAGTGTGCGTTCGTGCACGGGCTTCCACCAAAACCTCTCATGCACCACCCTCTTCTTGCCTCTCTGTTGGCTGTGGTTTTGATGTGTGTGTGTTGCTGCCTCGGAGTCCCTGCGGACCACACACATTATGCGCTGAAACGTCCCCGTGTTCCTTTCATGTTCGAACACTGCTGTTGCACAGGCATTGTACAGTTGGTAGATATAGTTCTATGTAGGATGACAGGACAAAAGAACACGGAACATGAAATAAGGAATCCTGTGATTCTGAGTTCACCGTTCCGTGTTCCTTCATTTTCGTGAGGGGGATGATCAAAGCCCCATGCCCTTGAGGCTTACGGCAGCGGTGGGACTACTTCACGTGAACACGCCTACTAATACAGTCTGCGTCCTCCCCCGACAGTGGTGGGACCGCGGAGGAACTTGGACGATACAGCAGTAGGTTGCGTGTGTCCTGTCTTGCCATGCCAAATGTGCTGACGTTGGCTGCAAAACCTCTCGGTACATGCTAGTGACACATGGGTCTTTTAGGGTAACACCGGCTGTTACAGCCTTGCAGTATTCTTTTTGTTCTTGTCGAACATTGGTGTTCTTTTTGCTACTGATATGCAACAGCAGCACCGCTGTGACCACGGAAGGCGTCCGTGTCTACGGGTGGATGGTACCGAGCAGAGACCGGAACGGTTTTGTAATGTGAAGATAAAACCAACAACAACAGCAAGCCGGGTGATCACACTGACATAAGACAGAATTGTTTCATCTTCCCCCTGCGGTACATGTTCCAAAAAAATTTCAACTTGTGTACCGTATTCTGTAGGGGGTATGCATATGTACAAGACGTTCTGCAGGCAGAGCTGTTGTTGAAAGCAGGGGTAGTCGTGATGTACATTTATGAGCAATTGTTTATTCGCGCCAACTGCTATAAGGGATAGGCGTTGTGGCATGCCTGCACTACAGCAGTAGTACATGAATCTCCGCGATTGTGACGACAACAACCATCAGGTGTTCAACATGCGACAAACAGCAGTAACTTCCGCAGGTCTTTTCTGCGCATATCGAACATTGCTGCTGCAGGATGCATGGTTACAACAACAACAGCTGCATGTCACCACTGCCATTGCAAAGCTCCCAGCACCAAACATACGCACCTCCCCGCCCCATTCGCAGTTTCTCGTCCTGGTTCCCAGCGGGGCTATTTGGTAGGCCACGTATCGTGCACCCACACTCACCTTGAACTTTCTATACCGCTGGTTTTGAAACAGCTCCACCACCTGTTCCAGACTCTGAGCCCCCGGCGCAGCCGGCGCCGGCGCCGCAGCCATCCCTCCCGCCTCACAGCGCGCCAATAGCTGTCGGACAAAAGTAAGCGCCCCCGACCAGAAAAACTCTATGTCTTGCCAACGTCCCCTTCCTTCTCGTCTACGTCCCAGCAGTACGGAACGGACAAGTCCCCGGTTTCCTGTTGTTGGCTTTCTTTGGCGGCCGTTGGTGAAATCCGCTCCTGCTTCCGAGTTCCTCTCCCCAAAACTGTTTCCTGTGTTCAATTAGAGAGGAGAGTCGAGCATGTCGTCTCTTGTCTAGGCTGGTGATGGCGGCTTTAATGAAGATGCCAAGGGCAGAGAAGAAGGAACGGCAGTCGTAGACAAACTACGTAGGTTGGAGATGTGCGGCAGGGGGGGGAGATGATGGGGCGGTGATGGGTGATCCCGACATCACCGACATCACGAACGTCAGCTGTACGCACGGCCAGAATTTATGTTGATGTGTGCGTCGTGTGACCAGTCCTGGAGAAAGCTCACGCTTACCTTGGACAAACGTGTCTCTCCGACAGCAGCGGAGAAGGTTGATGCGCCTATTTCTCTTCCTCCATTTGTTTCTGTGTCATCTCTCTTCAAGGGAAGAGGACAGGCGGACTGCTGTCTCGAAAGGCGGCGAGATAGCACGCGTTTCGGGTTTCGGGCTGCGACCTGCTCATGCAGCATGCAGCGCTGTACCCGGCAGAGAGAGCTACAGCAGTAGCAGAGAGCCGAGAAAACCTGCCAGACAACAGACATGAGGCCGAGAGACGAGAGGTACTGGCCACATAATATGTAGAGGGTGTTGAAAGGAGAGGGTATGGGCCTGGTACTGACCCCACAAGGTCGTACTACTGCTGTTTGACAAGAATCATCCGTGGTACGCATAGGGTCTGGCTCTTGCGTGCCAACCAAAGGCAGCAGATGCGGCAAGCCGTAGTCGCCTCCCAGAAGACCTCGGTTTATGCATGCATGCATGCATACGGCCATCTCTATAATGCAAGACTATCTCGGTCGTTTCGTGTCAGTGCGGACATACATTGGTAACGTGATCCAAGTCTATGCGCTCTTCATGTTTATCGGGGGGGTACTATTATTAGGAAATAATTATACACAGAAAGACTACTAGTCTACAGCAGTCGACGCCGCGTCCATAACGCGGGGTTGCGTCCTTAAAATTCAGGGGACGATAGTTTACCATCCCCGGGGCCAGCGGAGGCATGCTATACCTCAAACTACGCGTCTTTTGCTAAGGGAGGGTGTGGTACGAAAAGTCAGCGTCGCCGAGACGACTGGCCACCGTTTGTTGACGTCGAAAATATTTGCAATACAGCAGTAGATATTTTAAATGAGATGTACAGCAGTCGGGGACGTGTTGAAAACAACTACACAATACACAAGTTTGTACTTGGCCGAGTACTTAAATGTACTGCATAGCCGAAGCGGAAGAAGGAGGAAAATCCAAGTAGGCATATATTTTTATTATCTCATTCTTGTGAAACAAAAAAAAACGAGCGTATTTCAATCAGCGTCGCACCGAGGAACACCAGTACTACTGTACATACGAAGAGATGTCAGGTGTCTGCTTTTGGTTGCAAAAAACACCGTTACAAAACCCGCTGCCCGCCTAATTTTCTTCCGGAGTAATACAAAAAAGAAAGACGGTGGGTGGGCCAAGAAACGATGCACTTTTTATCGAACTCGAAGCTTCTGGCAACGCGTGGCGAAAGTGGCGAACCCGCACACACGCACAGAAGATTGTTGGAAAAAGAGGGGGATCTACTCGCCGCCAGCCGGTCGGGTTCCGGTTACCCCAAGAAGACTTCTCTTGCCTAGCAAACAAGAAGAAGCCTCGAAAAAGGGGGGGGTAATGTGGAGAACACCTTCATAACGGTTGAAACTCCCCAACGTCTGTCGAGGACGAAACCCTCTTTTCCACAATACCATAGACTATGTATATATTACTGTCCCGGCGGAGGAGACCAAAAGCTAAGGGTTCCGGTTACCCCAAGAAGACTTCTCTTGCCTAGCAAACAAGAAGAANGCGTCGAAAATATTTGCAATACAGTAGATATTTTAAATGAGATGTACAGCAGTCGGGGACGTGTTGAAAACAACTACAGTACACAAGTGTACTTGGCCGAGTATTTAAATGTACTGCATAGCCGGCAGCGGAAGAAGGAGGAAAGTCCAAGTAGGCATATATTTTTTATTATCTCATTCTTGTGAAACAAAAAAAAAACGAGCGTATTTCAATCAGCGTCGCACCGAGGAACACCAGTANGTACTTGGCCGAGTATTTAAATGTACTGCATAGCCGGCAGCGGAAGAAGGAGGAAAGTCCAAGTAGGCATATATTTTTTATTATCTCATTCTTGTGAAACAAAAAAAAAACGAGCGTATTTCAATCAGCGTCGCACCGAGGAACACCAGTACTGTACATACATACTATATGTATATCTTACTGTCCCGGCGGAGGAGATTAAAAGCTAACCTGACGGGTTTTCCCTCCACATATCGCGAAGAGGCCCTCCNACTTTTCCACAATACCATATGTAAATATTACTGTCCCGGCGGAGGAGACCAAAAGCTAACCTGACGGGTTTTCCCTCCACATATCGCGAAGAGGCCCTCCCTAAACCTCCCCCCGCGGCTTGCCTCTACGACCCTGTCGAGTGTCATGAGTAAACGAATGAACGGTCTTCGAAAGAAGGTACTGCGTCTCACGGTACTCACTCGCCATCCCTTCCCTTCGCGTACAAATAGGATCGAACGTCCGCCAAGCGAGAGATAAACTCGCCCTCGGTGAGGGACGAGGTTATTATGGACGACTTTTTTTGTTGGCGGCATCAGATGGACCGCCGATAGATGGGAGGAATCTATCCATATTAACACCCAGTTACAGCTCCAGCAGCAGACCGTTCGCTACTTCTGCTGTCTGTCCGTCGCTACTTCTGCACTCAATGTGGTGCGTGATGCGTGCAAAGAGCGGCCCGCAGGATAGGCCCTTCCCCATTATGCGATCATAACTTTTGGCATAATTGGCCTATTTGAGCATTAGCAAGAGCATATTGCGGAAAGAGAATATGCTCAGCATATCGTAGCAGAAAGGAGCATATGTGTCTACGGAGCGGGCATATTATATATANGAACCTCCCCCCGCGGCTTGCCTCTACGACCCTGTCGAGTTTCATGAGTAAACGAATGAACGGTCTTCGAAAGAAGGTACTGCGTCTCACGGTACTCACTCGCCATCCCTTCCCTTCGCGTACAAATAGGATCGAACGTCCGCCAAGCGAGAGATAAACTCGCCCTCGGTGAGGGACGAGGTTATTATGGACGACTTTTTTTGTTGGCGGCATCAGATGGACCGCCGATAGATGGGAGGAATCTATCCATATTAACACCCAGTTACAGCTCCAGCAGCAGACCGTTCGCTACTTCTGCTGTCTGTCCGTCGCTACTTCTGCACTCAATGTGGTGCGTGATGCGTGCAAAGAGCGGCCCGCAGGATAGGCCCTTCCCCATTATGCGATCATAACTTTTGGCATAATTGGCCTATTTGAGCATTAGCAAGAGCATATTGCGGAAAGAGAATATGCTCAGCATATCGTAGCAGAAAGGAGCATATGTGTCTACGGAGCGGGCATATTATATATACTCCTTGATTATTTGGGTATAGACTTCGTTGAATTGGGCATATTTATTCACACANAGAGCGTATTGCGGAAAGAGAATATGCTCAGCATATCGTAGCAGAAAGGAGCATATGTGTCTACGGAACGGGCATATTATATATACTCCTTGATTATTTGGGTATAGACTTCGTTGAATTGGGCATATTTATTCACACACCTTCATTTGGCGCAGGAGGCCATCAGCTGACGGCATTGGCATTCCCTCTGAGGCACCGGGTGTTTATATTCAATCGCTTTCCACTTATTTGGGGCTGTTTCGTNTGTGTCTACGGAGCGGGCATATTATATATACTCCTTGATTATTTGGGTATAGACTTCGTTGAATTGGGCATATTTATTCACACACCTTCATTTGGCGCAGGAGGCCATCAGCTGACGGCATTGGCATTCCCTCTGAGGCACCGGGTGTTTATATTCAATCGCTTTCCACTTATTTGGGGCTGTTTCGTTTACGACTTGTGGGAGTTTTGGCGTGATAACAGGAAAAAACTTCCTGCTTGGTATGGGGTTGCCGAAGACGTTGCCTTGGTTCAACCGTCGTCCGCGTTTGTCGAGAGGGTATTTTCAATCTTACGGGCTGGCATGGACGAGCGTCAGGAAAGTTGCTACAGCGACCGCATTGCTGCGTCAGCTATGTTGAAGTACAACAGAGGGCCGAGAGTCTAGATAGAGGCGCTAATAATGCTGGTGTCTAGCGAATTTTGTTTCTTGTACTACGCTCCAGACAGATCTTTGCTGTTGATGTTTCACGTTCTTTGGCCTCGGGGCTCAGTTGTGATGTCAGCGTGGAGTATGTATGTATGTGGCAGCGCACGTACTACTTCAGACTAGTTTAGTATTTTCGGGAGAGCGGGGGGGGGGAGCGCTTCATCATGTTGTTGTGACAGCGTTCTATCAAACCAAACGTAGATAGATTGATGATTGCAGTTTCTTCTGCTTTTTGCTCGCAGGGTACTTCGCTAGATTTGGTGTTGTTCATAGTAAGAACATATTCAAAATATAATCCTCGTTCAAAATGATGCACCCGACACATAACACGCGCAGGTATTGAAGGCAAAGAAAAAGATCTTGTGCATGGGAGCCGCCGATCAAAAGCACTTCAAGTATTATTATACTTCGTAAACTAGGAGGAAAGGTTACAGTTTTGAGCATATCCTTCCCCTGGAAAGGAACATGATGTGGAAAAGAGGTTGTTTTCGTCAGGTTTTCGTCCTCGACAGACGTTGGGGAGTTTCAACCTTTATGAAGGTGGTGTTCTCCACAATAACGGGATATTTTAAGCATATTTTCCCCCAGAAAAAGGGCATAACATTTTGAACGAGGATTAATAGTTGTCGGAATTCATGTCCGCGTTGTTTTGGCGAAGTTCTGCTNAGAGGTTTTCGTCCTCGACAGACGTTGGGGAGTTTCAACCTTTATGAAGAAGGTGTTCTCCACAATAACGGGATATTTTAAGCATATTTTCCCCCAGAAAAAGGGCATAACATTTTGAACGAGGATTAATAGTTGTCGGAATTCATGTCCGCGTTGTTTTGGCGAAGTTCTGCTCGGTTGATGTTGTCTTGCTGCATGTTGCGCATCTCGTGCAGCAGGAGCTCTGATTGTGTTCCGTAGTCCACTTTGTTGTCTTCGTCGCCCGTAGAGGTACGGCGTCCGAGCAATGACGTGAAGTTCATCACGTCCTGTTCATATCCGAGACGGTCGTCCCACCGGTGAGGGGGGATGGTGTTGGGTGGAGTCTCGATGACAGTCACGTTCCGGCTCTCGTAGACCTTGTCTTTGCCCTCCACGTAGATCCGGTACGTCTTGCTGTCAGGTCCGTAACCGCAGAGCTTGCCTTCAAAGGCCCGATCGTCTAGCTTCTTCTTGTATCGCTCGTGATGAACGAACGCGCGGGCGCCGATGGCACGAAGCCGAGAAAGGTCGGGGGTTGTGTTGTACATCTTGGAATACAGCGTGGCTCCCCCTAGCGCCGCGTGTGGGGTCCTGTTGGTCAGGTATGCTGCAGTCATCATGAGCTACCCCCACATGTGTTTTGGGAAGTCTCCATCGCGCAGTAGAGCTCGAGTCACAGCCGCAAGTGTCTGGCCATCCCTTTCTGACACTCCGATTTCTTGGGGCGTGTTGGTCGCGGCGAATTCCAGCTTGATCGCAGACTCCCTACAGTAGTTGCGCATTTCTTCCCCAGTGTTCTCTCCGCCTTTGTCACAACGTAGAACCTCGATGCGGTAGCCTTCAGATGCTACTTGCATGTTGTAGGCGTGCAGAGCTTGCGTGGTTTCGGTCCTGTGGCGCAGTAGGCACACTTCCTGCATTCTGGTAAAGACGTCGGTCGCTTTGGCGACATAGGAGTAGGTGCGTCCGTTGTACTTCGCAGGCGGGTCGATTGGTCCCATGTTGTCGAACTGGACGAGTTGGCCTGGTTTGGTCAGGACACGGCTGGTCTTCTTCGGGACGGGAGCCTTCTTGTGCTTCGTGATTTGGCAGTTGTCGCACGGGGATACAGGTCCGTCATATTTCACACCTGTGGCGGGGTTGCGCCGCAAAATCTCCATAGCACTTGGATTGATGTGGCCGAGGCGCCGGTGCCAGAGGTCGGCGCTCACGCTCATCGCCACTGAGCATGTCGCGTGCGGAGTGTGATCGATCTGTACCGCTTCTGGTTTTCCGAACTTCGGCTTGCGCCCTGGTTCTTGGTTGTTCGGGGGTGTCTTGCTTGTCGACGCTGGATCGCCCTTGAATGTGATGGCGAGGGTGCACATGCCTTGGTCTTGAGTCTCTTGTTTCAGAGGAACGACGACTTCTCCGCCGATGGTGAGGTGTGGGGTCTTGTCTTCCAGGACACATCGGAGGCCCTTCGTGAGAATGGGCTGTTGGTGCGAAGATGTTCCGGCCTAGTCCTGGCACGATGAAACCTTGTAGCTTGACGGGTAGTTGCTGTTCTTTGTCGTCTTTGATGGTGCAGTGTAGGATCCCAGTGGTAGTGCCTCGTAGTTGGCTTTCTCCTGCAACGTCGATGATCTTGGGCGTCGGGCGTTCTTCTTCGAGACGTCCATTAGGGATGAGGCGGTCGTCGAACATGGTCTCAGAAGCTCCAGAATCCACCAGCGCTGAAGTCCCAGTTGCAGTTGTCGTGAAAGTGCGTCCGCTTCCCTTGCTGCATGTAGCATGGTACATGAATCCACCCTTGAATGCATCTTCGTCGTAAGAGAAGTCGATCTCTGCCTGTTCGGTCTTCTCTGTTTCTTTGGGAATTTCTGTTGTGGTAGGCTTGGCTTGTATGTCTCTTGACTGGGTTGAGCAGTGCACGCAGTGTGTGCATGCAGAAAAGGCCTTGCCCGTGCGTTCTGGTCGCTTGGCTCCTTGGTTGTAACACTCTTCGTCGGAGTGTGTAGTGGTGTTATGGACGGAGCACCACTTGGTTGCTCCCGCAGGCTTCGTCTTCTTTGCCCTATGGCCCTCCCGCTGGCGATTGGGACAGTTCCTCCTGACATGTCCCGGTTCGTTGCACTCGAAGCAGATGGGGCCAGATGTCTTGGTAGCCATGGCGAATCCGCGGCCAGCGATTTGGCCCTTGGTTCTCTTGCGCATTTGCTCGTCAAGGAAGATGTTGCGCATGGTGGCTTGCATCTGTTGTACGTCGAATGATGGGTCGCGGAAAACCATCATCTTGATGTCCTTGTAGTCCTCGGAGAAACCTTGCACACAGATGTCCTTGAAGCGGCGATCGGAGATGGTTTCCCCCATTTTCTCTAGTTGAGAGCGGAGGCGGTGTTTCTTGTTGAAAAAATCGTCCGGGTTCTCTCCTGGCTCCATGACCGTCCTTTCCAGGTCGTCCAGTTTAGCCCTGATCACTTCATCTGTCACTCGATTGTAGTTGGCCTTCAGTTCCGCGAATGCTGCCTGCCCGTCGCCGCTAAGGCCGGTGTCGTCTACGTGCTTGTGTACGGTTAGTGCAGCCGGCAGTTCGACGAGGCAGAATAGGATTGCGTAGAGGTCTTCGTTTGCTCTCTCGTATGCGGCGAAGGTGGTGTCCGAGGGATCAGGCCTGCGCATTCCCTTGAGAAGTGGCATGATGTCCCTCCGAGTAACGCCGACGACTACACCCAATTTCTTCATCCAGTCGTTGAAGTCCTCTGGTTTCGTTCCATCGAACTTGGGGAGTCCTCTGATGACGTTGGCCAGGTTTGTGGATCCATCACTCCAGATGCTGCCTCCGCCTCCAGTTTCCGATTTTGCTTCCATTTCTGGTTTTATCCTGATGATCTCGTCTTTAATATTTTTGTTGGTGTATTACTCAGCTATCTGTCGCTGAGATTTTTCCAGCCCCGCTCCTTCTATTGATATAGAGGACTCCGGTTGCCGATTCGTGACCCCGCTTCTGAAACCCTTTTCCCACCTAGATAGAGAATTGGTGAATAGAACTCCGGTTGTAGGCCAATTTGCGACCCCGCTCCTGATACCCTTTCCTCACTTAGGGAATCGGTGAATAGGACTACGGTTCCCGGTCGACTTTCGCTGTTGATACAGTCTTCCCTCCTGTCTCCGCCGCAGAAGTATTTGCTCAATGTCTAAATCGAGGCTTCCCGCGCAACACTTTGCTGTTTGTTCACCACAGAGGTACCCACTACTGCTGTTGCAGCAGTGATAACGTGTGTGTATAATGAACTCTCAGCCCCTTGGTGTAGATGACCAAGTAGTGCGCTCACTTTCGTTTCCGTTGACCGTTGATGATCTCCCAAATCTCCGAATCCAGTTTCCGCTCGAAGTCCACAAACGGATGCCGTAATCCACAGCAGTAGGATGTCTTGACCTCCGTCCGTGACGTCTGCAGCTCCTAGTGTTCGCGTAAAGCGAGGCTCATAATCTCAAAAAATGTGGCGTCCTGCAGCAGTGGAGGTGGCGGTGCTGCTGTAGCTCGTAGACTTTGTAGTCTACCACAGAGGTTACACTGCTGTCACCGCTCTATCACAGAGGTTGGTCTACACTTCTGTGAGATCGGTAGGCCCGAGCGAGCTCTGGAAAGAGAAATGTAGATAGATTTTCTTATCAACTGACTCCCTGGTCAGGCTTTGATGGGTGCTAGATGAGAGTGAGCACAAGGGGCGAAGGCGCGCTTGTGTCTCATCTCAACAACAAAACAAAACAAAAAACAAGCAGGTTCCGAGGGTCTCCGGGGTAATGGCCCCAGTACCGGAATTTTGGGGTTTGAAACAATAAAACAACTACAGCAGTCTCGCCTGCCAAATTATCTCCGCTACAACTCTGTGCTCATGTTCTCTGCTGAGTACCATCTCTTCTTTCTGTATTATGTCTACGGAAGGCTAGTTGCCGCAGTCGCACCTATGGTAAACTGTGCCTGACTACGTTGTAACAGTTTCCTCGACATCGTCGACCGCCTCTCTTGCGTTAATCGCTTGTGCTTTGCATCCTTGGTCCTCATGAGGTCTTGCCCCTGCCGTCTCCTTATACGGGTTGGGTACCCTGGCACGCTGGCCATCGTTCGTTCTCCGCGCCTTTGCCGGTCGTTCTTTTCTCCTGCCCTTCGTTAACGTCCTAGATTACGTTGAGTTTTCCATTAGCGTCGCGTGCAGTATCAAAGGTCGTATTCGTTCGGAAATTGTTCGGGTTTCGAGTTTCGTCACCGTATTTTGGACTCGCTCGGGTAGTCACCCTCATTCCTCCAGCGGTGCGCGGGTGCACGTAAGAGAGTGAGTGGTGTGTGGCGTCTGGATATTAATTTTGTTTCCCTGTCGTCGTCTGTTCAGGATGATAGCGTGCTCTGTCGCAATATATATTCTTCGTAGCTTTATCCCTTCAAGCGTTGTCATTGAGATGTCGCATTCTTCATCTCAATGAAGGTGTTGAAGATTGATTCGGGATAATTTCTACAACTCACCCTCCTTTTGGATGTTTTGTAAAGAGTCATATCTTCGATTCATGATCATGAATCATCAGCTAAAATCTTACTGTAGCTTTTAGGATTTGAGCATTGATTTGAGTATAGAATCTGCATATCTGATACTCAGGTTGGGCTAGGGTTAAGGAGTGTGGCTGCTAGCATGAATAGGGTACATCTAATTGTTGATAGGATGCGGGTCGGTCAGGAGGTATACCCTTCTGACCCCTATCCCCTTAGAATTGTCTACTCTGTGTACCCCCTGAGATGACGTTGGATCCCCACTTCATCCCAGACCCTTGCTGATCGTCTCTCAGCAAAAACAAGCAACTTTCCCATTTCAACGTGGTCGTGGACAAGCGTGTCAACGATAGAACGTTCATCTATCTCTAGGAGCAAGCTACCGCCCACGGCTTCACTCCTTGAAACCAGCCTGTTACTGTTTGCGGCCTAGGCCACTTATTTATCGGGCGAGACTGTTTTGGTGTTTTATTTACCTTACAAGAGGTTGACGATTGTCCTTCACATTGACGAAAGAGGGAGTACCCCACATGGGCAGCTCCTACACCAAGGAGGGGCCCCGTGACTCATCGCGGTGCCCCCTACCAAACGTCAATCTTAGCAATCCGCGTGACACCAAATCATACAGCACATGTATCCAACACCAACGTTCGCAGACCCAACAACACCCTCCCTGTTTTTTCACGCATGTGACTAACCATCAATGGGGCAAGAACGCCCCTGGATACATCAGAAATACCAACATGGAAGTATATGGAGGGGAAACCCGGCGTCCGGGCAAAACTCCTCGAATAAACCCCTACCACCACAAAAACTGTCGCTATCACAGCGGATTACAACGGCCGCACGTATTTGAAAGTCCAAGGCAAGTGCTAAGAACTGCTCCAGCCACTTTGACCAACTCATCAACTTGCGCCGGTGGTACTGCAGGCTGGCCCTGCTAAGGGCCTTGGTTAGGAGGTCCGCGTGTTGCTCCGTTGTCGGAACAAACTTGACCGTCATATCCCCCGACCTAAACAATCCGCCGATGAAATAAAACTTCACGTTGATGTGTTTCGTACGACCTGAGCTGAGAGGGTTCTGCACCAACGCTACGCCCCCCTGGTTGTCCTCAAGGACCTGGATGCTGCTACCTCTGGTCTTTGGGGCAACAAACGAAAGCACAGCACGCACAAACAACTCCTCCTTGACACTCTCCTCGGCAGCTATGTACTCGGCTTCCGTCGATTGAAAGGCATCATGCTCTTCGTCTCGTCACCATGGCTGACTACGGTACCTCCAACCGTCGTCGCCAACCCTGACACCGAACGCCTATCCTCCGAGTCGGCGTGGCTAGCGTCTACGTACACGGCCAGCCCTAACCCAGATCCCCGTTTGTAGGTGATGCCGAGGTCCCTCGTCCCTTTCAGGTAGCCGAGGATCTTCTGTATGGCATCCCAGTGCCGCTTCGCCGTGGCGTGGGCGTGGCGCGCTATCGCACGCACGGCGAACGAGACGTCTGGACGCGAGAAAGTCGACACCCACGTCATGCTTCCCTTGGCCTCTCTCACCGGCCACTCCCCTCCCTTCTCGTCATCTCGCTTCGGTCCTAGGTCGACACCAGGGGAAGCAGGGATGCGGGAGGTCGATTGTACATCAAAGGGTTTCACCATGCTGTCGATGTACGCGGTTTGTGAGATTTTAAGAGTCCCAGCCTCTACATCTCTCTCGATGGCACACCCGTCACACCAGTGACACTCTCCAAGGTTTTTGGTGGGAAATTTCTTGTTGAGAGAAGCAAGCAACTCCTCGCAATCCTCGTCAGACCCAGCCACCAAAATGTCATCCACATAAATCACGATAATCATCACCACGACTTCGTCTACCATCTTGCGGAAAACACACGGGTCCGCCTTGCATTGCTCGAACCCGTTCTCGACTAGCGTATCAGCAGCGTGGTACCCCCACTGCCTACCGCTCTGCTTCAGACCATAAATCGCACGCTCAGCCTTAGCAATCTTATGCGACTTGTCCCCGCACCCAGCGGGGAGCTTCAGAAAAACCTCCTCGTCTAGCGTAGCGTGTGTGTACGCCTGCTTCACATCCCAGTGGTTGAGGTGGTTCATGCCCTTCTCGTTTGGCACTGCAAGCATCAGCTTGATGGATGCGGATGATGGGCAAGGGGAAGACGAATGGATATAATCGACGTTCGGGATCTGCGCAAACCCCCCAGCAACCAGATGCGCTCTAAACGTATCTTCCCTTCCTTGTTGGTCTTCCAACTAAAACACCACTTTGAGCTCAAAGGCCTGAGCCCCTCTGGCGCGCCGTCTACGAATGAAAACGTCCCCGCACCCAAGTGCCAATCAAACTCCTCCCTCATGGCCTGTTCTCACCCCTCTCTGTACACAGACTTGGCAACGCCGGCTACGGTCATGGGGGGGGTCCTACTTTACTCGGACGCTTGCCTATGGGGGGTTCACTTAGCTCGTTGGACGCCAGAGCCGTCTCGAAGGCGTCTGGCGAGTTGAGCATGAGGTCCACCGTACCCAGCAGGAAATCCTCCGCCTCTTGGCGCGCAGCGTGGGCCTCCTGCGCGCGCTCGGACAGCAACTCTCGCACCACCCTCGCCTCTAGCCCCTCCGCCACGTGAAGTACTGCCGAGAGCATCCAGCGGGTGAACTCCTCCGTGCTGCTGTCGGGCAGGCTCGCCACCGAGGCGAGCAGGGCTTCGGCACTTGTCGGCGACGGGGCCGATGTGGGCGGCGACGGGGGCGACTCGTACCTCGGATTTCGGCGAGGGTTCTCCCTGTCTCTTATACACATCTAGATGTGTATAAGAGACAGCCCCCTAGCAACCAGACGCGCTTTGAACGTGTCTATCTTCCCTTCCTTGTTGGTCTTCCAACTAAAACACCACTTTGAGCTCAAAGGCCTGAGCCCCTCTGGCGCGCCGTCTACGAATGAAAACGTCCCCGTACCCAAGTGCCAATCAAACTCCTCCCTCATGGCCTGTTCTCACCCCTCTCTGTACACAGACTTGGCAACGCCGGCTACGGTCATGGGGGGGGTCCTACTTTACTCGGACGCTTGCCTATGGGGGGTTCACTTAGCTCGTTGGACGCCAGAGCCGTCTCGAAGGCGTCTGGCGAGTTGAGCATGAAGTCCACCGTACCCAGCAGGAAGTCCTCCGCCTCTTGGTGCGCAGCGTGGGCCTCGTCGGCTCGGTCGAATAGCAATTCTCGCACCGCCCTTCCGCCACGTGAAGTACCGCCGAGAACATCCAACTGGTGAACTCCTCCGTGCTGCTGACGGGCAGGCTCGCCACCGAGGCGAGCAGGGCTTCGGCACTTGTCGGCGACGGGGGCGACTCGCACCTCGGGTTTCGGCGAGGGGTCTCCCTGGGGCGGCGGCTGGTGAATTGCGCCGGCTTGTCAAAGCGGGCGAGCCGCCGGGCCTCTGGCCCACAGAACGCCGGGATCCGTCTCGCTGTCGCTGCCACTGCTGCCTTCGCTGCCGCCGTCATCGCCACTGCTTCCGCCGCTGCTTCCGCCGCTGCTGCTGTCGCTGCCGCTGCCGGCGCTACCGCGGCTGCTGCTGTCGCCGCCGCTGTCGGCGGCTACCGCGGCGGCTGCTGCTGCGGCGGTCGTCCTCGCCGCCGCCCACATCGGCCGTGCCGGTCGACGTGGTAGATAAGGCAACGCTCGCGCCCACCCTGCCGGAGGGGGCGTTATCGCCAGCGTCGCCCGCGCCCGACTCCTGGGGCGCGGCCGGCAGGGCCGTGGGCGCGACGCGCGCGGGCGGCCCCGGGGGCCCCGGGGCTGCCGCCGTGCCAAGGTTGAAACCTGGTCCTCCATCCACAGGTTCTCTCTCCGCCCTCCCTCCACCTTGGTTCGACGCGCCCTCCCCAACCTCGTCCTCCTCAGTCGCGAATTCCTCTTCCTCCTCTGCGATGGGAGGCAGCGACTGGTGCAGGGCGGTGGGGGCGGCGGGCACGGATTGCCAGATGAAGTTGCGAATTGTGATCGCTTGGCGTTTTTCGTTCAGGATGGTTGGTGATGATTCCCGGGCCGAGGTAAAAACACCTTTGGGCTTTCGGCTCGGACTTGTGTGTGCGCTTGACCTTGTATACGGCAGGTTTGAGGAACGGGTATGTCGCCCCCGGCGGGAGAGGGTGCCCGTGCCACATTCGTACGGCGATTTCTCCTCTGGGTTGGATGTGGTGAAGGTGCAGTTCAGGGCGTTGCATGCCCAAGCTATGGGCTCGGCCGAAAGGGCGGGGTAGTTCAGTGCTCGGGGGTAAAGTGTTGGCGCTTGGATACGGGCGGCTAGTGCTGCATCCTTGATCAGACCCAGTGCTCTCTCAGCTACACCGTTGTATTCTGGGCTGTGCGCGGGGGTGAACTCCTGTTTGATGCAGTACTTCCGGCACACCCTGCCG